TGCGTGAGCGTAACGTAAATGGGTCAACGTTCGGACAACATCCAAAATATCGTACTTAGTATGTGATTAAAAGTTCTAAGAACATGTATTCCCAGTGTAAGTCGCAGACGATCTAGTTAAAATGCCATGTCAACAAATTGAACGGCTCACCCTCGATTTTCGAATCGGATCTACTCGTGTCCGCTCAGTTGTGGATACCCCCGTACCCCAGTCGAAGAGCCTGTAGCAGGTCAGACCGAATTGAAAGCGCCTTCTGCATCGAGTCATCAATCGACGATTACGATTACGAATGACAATAGTAATTCCACCTTGGATATTATCCCAAGCGAAGAACGTTGACCTTAATCTCGTTGGATGGTCAGCACCCACAGCCGATCAACCAATATTTTATTCACGCCGCATACTGGTGTTCGAGCTTGGTTTGGAACTTGGAGGCCACGATCTTAGTGAGATTTTCGGTACTGTCCCAGTGGACGCAATATGTTTTTTTCTTCTTTTTTTGATACGCAATAATTGAGCGTACTGTTGTTTTTCGCGATGTTGACCATAATACCATTCTTTAATGTCCATGGCATACCAGTTGGCGTTGTGGACCTATTCCATTTAGGTAACTTGAGCTCGAATGCTCGCTTTATAGATGCTTTGAACCTTAGGCTTGGCGCCCCACCGTTCGTTTCATTCACCATGAAGATACAGGATGCCCTGGATTCGCTGTCGGCACCGGGCGCTTCTCCATCATACTATCAAGAGGATTAATTTGTCTTGCAAACGTGGGTTAACTCATCAAACACCAACATATATTGGCAAGAAGGAACATCGATTTACAGGTTACTGGGTTACAACAATTTACGCGCTCGTACCAGATGCGAACTGAAAGAGATACTGAACGAAACACACAGGTGTACGAGCACCACAAAATGCTGTGTCTACCGGTATCCGCTTTAGAATTTGTAGCGAGGCTTCAAGTGCTCGAGGACACGGCGCAGCATCCAGCCGTCACTGTCAGTAACTGTCCCAGAGCTGCCTGCCATCATGATACTATTGGGCCACTTGTCGTTAGGCTTGTCAGCTTCCTCATAGAAGTCAGGTAAACCAAAGCCATGACCGATCTCGTGCGAAACAATCGTAAGCTGCTCCTCATCAATAGTCTGTAGCATGTTCTCCAGGTTCACCTCCTGACCCCAGTCGTAGCCAAAGCCACCTTCAAGACCCTGTTTAGGCCACAGCGAAATGTCGAACGGCTTACCTTTGCACGAACTGGTGTCCGACCATGAACCGGCACCATTGTCGTAGAATCGGTAGCAGCTCTGATCGCACTGCGGAACACCATCCGAGTCGAGATCTCCAACCGTGATCGTACCGAGGGAGTCATCTGTCCAATCCAGTAGCGACGCCTCCTTCACCGCGAATCCAACGATGTTAATCTTGATCTCATTGTACGGCCAGCAGTCGTATCCGATCAGCCAATGGTTCCAAGCCGCGTACTGGCGCTCAAGCATGGCCTGAAACTTGGAAGCCACACTCTTGGAGAGCTTTTCGGTACTGTCCCAGCGGACGCAGTAGTTGAGCGTACCCTTGTTGTTCACGATGTGATCCATGATCCAATTCTTGTTATCCATGACGTTCCAATTGGCGTCGCGTGTCGGTGCGTCGGGACCAATTCGGTTCTTCCAGATCCAATCAACATCCGCAGCGCTAACATATTTGTTGGGGTTGCCGATGACGCACTCGCCCGATTTGGACGTCACCGTTCCAAAGGTGGCGTGGTCGCCGCTGCTGGTGCTGTTCGTGGATGTCTGGGTCGCATCCGAGCCTTCCTGAGTCGAAGAGGAAGCCGTCGATTGAGCCGTGTTCGAAGAGGACTCCGCCGTGTTGGAGGATGAAGCCAACGACGAAGTCTGGGTCACCTGCGATGAATCCTGATCGACGACGTCTCCAGTTCCACTTGACACCGTGGACGTCACAGTGTTCGATGACGAGCCCGTTGAAGTGATCGGGTTTGACGCCTCGTACTCTCCGGAAGCTGCCGACGTCGCCGTGTTCGACGAAGAAGTCGTTGATGAAGGTTGAGACCACGTTTGGTCACCTGTTCCACTGGAGGTGGTAGGGGCTGTGGTGGTCATCGGAGTTAGATTGGACGAACCCGCCGTTGAAGTCGGCACGGTCGGTGATCCCTCCGTGGTCTTGTCCGATCCGCTGCACTCGAGACTGTAGTCGTTGGTCGGGCTGGTGTTGTCTCCCGAACCACTGCATTCCAGCGAATAGTCTCCCTGGTTACCGATTCCGCTGCCGGTCGGTGTCCACGCATTGGATGCGTCCGTCGACGTGGGTTGAGTCCAGTCTTGGTTGCTGCCACTGCTAGGGGGTGTCCAAGAGTTGGAAGCATCGGTGGTTGGTGGTGTCCAGCCTTGGTTACCACTGCCACTGCTAGGAGGCGTCCAGGAGTCGGTGGTTGGCGGCGTCCAGCCCTGGGATCCGCTGACAGCAGAGGGGGCACTAGGGACCATTGTGGGCACGTTGTTCGAAGACGATGCCGTATGTGCCCATTGATTGGGTGAGTCATAGCTGCCTGTAGTCGATGCTTGTGTTTCGTCACCAGGAGCGACGGTGCCTGTGGACTGTGTGATATCATTCTGGCCAGCGAAATCGAAGGCAGACGATGTGGCAGTCAAAGTGACTGCGAGGAGCACTGCAGAGGTGCGCTGGAATCGACTTGGCACCATCTTGGAAAAAATGACAATGGCCAAGCAACGGAATTTAACCAACGGGAGTGATCTAAGCTAAACAGCATGGTTTCCTCTAAAAATCACGACTTATCCTTTCGGTCCATGTGTGTGGACTTTGCAGCTTTCATTCCCACAGTCTCCTTTACAAAAGGTCACGTCAGGTGAACCTGTTTTCGCGTTCTGTTGCAATCCTCTGTTCGAAGATAACAGCAGATGAGCGAAGTTCGTTCATTCGCACAGCAAATCCTCACGATTTTTGAAGTGCCCTGTGGTGAAAAGCTCACTGACATTGTAGAAACAGGATACTCCCTGACTCACGCATCAACCACGTAACGAATAGGGATAGTAGAGGAGCCCTTATGGAAGAGCTACAGTAGCTGTTGGGAACTGCAAGCAGAGCTCAAATTCTTCATTTTCACCTGTCGGGTAGACTATCAACAGTCGTGCCAGCAGGACCTGCCGTGTACGTGTAGCGATAGACCATGTACTTGCGCTCCACGAATAAACTGCACCAGAATTTGGAGAGCAGATGCCCTCGACGGATTCATTCCTATCCCCGCGCCTTGGTGACGTTCGGACACCTCAACGACACGACCATGAGGCTATCTACTGTATATCAATGTGAAACGCTTTTTATCAAAACGCTCAATCTCGAGATGGGAAGGAAAGCCACACCACGGAGTTCATGCTTCGGCCAAGGCAATGCAAGCATCAACACCCAAGCTTTTATCCGGTGGACAGCATTCGAAAAGAAGACGACCACATGACATCAGAGCAGCACACTGTATCCATCCTATGATCTTAAAAATGCTTTTCATTCTTCTTTCGTCGCGTGATTTGACAACAGTACATTGTATTGGTCTACAAAACGTAGACTAAGCGGCGTCTGGGATCGCGATATCCAGTTGTCTTATCAAATGACGTTACCCTAGTGCAGTAGTAAATTTCTTGAGTGCAGCTGTGAATGTCGACAATACCTCTCTGATTTACAGCTTGATCTTGTAGTAGTCACCGACTGGGATGTGCTGTGCAGGGCCATAGAAGTCCAAGAACACAATGTGCTCGATCTCCATCACGTAGAAGCTAAAGTCATGGCGCTTCGGCCAGTGTTTCATCTGCGGGTGTCTAAAAATGCAAACACGTTGTCAAGAGCTGTAACCCTTCAAAAAAAAAACAAAACAATTATACCAACTCGTACTTGGAGAAGACAGCACGCTCGGCGTAGTTCCGTTGGTTCTCCTTAACTGGAACAACTCTCCCTGTCATCGAGAGTCGCCAGCACGTTGGGTCTTCGGCGTCCATGAGGCAAGATTTCGCTCCCCCTTGGGCTTTTGACAGTGCCACGGTCGCGTTCGGATTCGCCTTCAAGTCCATCGCTACATACGTTTGGGTTCCTTTAGCCACTCCTATATGACGTAACAGTAGCGAGTTTCTCACCTGTGAAGTCATCGGCTGACAGGTAGAAGAACAATGTTCCAGTTGCGTCCTCCTTGGCTAGCCCAACACCATCTATAGACACTATCGTCAATATACTGTTAACAGTACACTATGCTGCCACCGTCTTCTCACCACTGTAGGAAACGACATTTGCGAACGCTGATCCTCCGAACGTGACGGACGTGGTGGCCATGATCGCCCATACATTCTCGTGCACGAGCATGCGAGCGTGTTTAGCGTGGAGCTTAGCGAACGGCCCGCTGTCCACCTCGTCGGGGACAAGCGACGTCGTCTCAGCGCTATAGATTTCACCCGCACTCGCGGTGATCAGCAGCGAGAGCAGCACAAGCAGCGAACGGAGGACGGATGGAGACATTACA